GCTCACGAGAACAGGGGTTTGTCACTAGCGCTCACCTCCATGCGATAGAAGGCTTCGTTGCCGGCTCGCCGAAGACGGGCGGTTGATCCTCAGAAATCGTGGCTTTTCGCTAAAGAGCACGAGTTTTCCAGGATTGCTCAGACGGCTCGGTTCATCGGCAATCCCACCAACCCGGGATCCGAACGCACGTCGCCGTCAACATCATCACAATCGGTGTTTGCTCGCAGTCCGGCAGACCTAGACTGCACTAGATGGCCCCGCTCGGCGTCCGTCGACCCCGGCTCCTTGCCCTTTTGCTAATCATATCACCGTGACATTGCGGTCCGAAGTCAAAGCAAAAGAAGGTCACCTTTAGCGCGGCGCTATCAAGAACAAATTTCTCAAACTTTCCGACAAGAAGAGGAGCCGGAGGTGATGGATGGTTTTATGTTCACATGCGAGAAAAAAAACGTCAAGAGTAAAATCAGAAACTATCCTGGGGGTTGACTGCGCCAGAACTGATGGCATGTTGATCATTGATCAACACGGAACCAAGGCCCGTCAAGTCTTGCGGGGAAGACCCCTCTGATCGGCGAGGCCCACGCAACCGTCCAGGACATACATCGATCGTCAATCGCGATATTCTGACGTTTCGACCCGGTCCGGAGACAAAAGCGGTCGTAGCGTTCGAGAACTTGTGAAGAGCCCAAGAGGGGGCTCCTCGGAGGTCTGGGTTTGCCTCGGCCCCCCTTGTCTCGGTGACCCCCCCGGACGGTCCGTATTCGGCATCCTCGTCCGTGCATGCACCAACGACTTCCCTTGCGCTTCCGTTCGGGCAAGTCAATGGTTCGGCTAGTGGGTCACAACCCGACTTGGCCGTCCGAGCGCTCGTCCAGTTTTTGACCCTGTCGCCGACCCGGGCCCTTGCGAGGACCCTTGAATCTCATCACCGAGCCCGGAAACATCACCAGGACGACAAGTTGAGGCCTGATGGATGCCAAACCCTACTCGAACCATCCGAGGGCCTCCAGCTCGCCAATGCCCACCTCAGGAGCGCGGAAGCCAACCGTCTCGCCTAGATGCATTGACATGCACCACGTGGCTCAGGCAAACTCCATTCAGCAGAGGGTGCATTCGCTGGTTCTCGTTTGCGTGCAACTAGGCGAGGTGAGGCTTTAGTGGGTGTCTAAGCAAATGTTATCGGCCGAATTCGGGCTAAACTTGACAGAGGGGGGTGGCAAGGGGGAAAGGTTAGGTACCGAGCTCGCGTCATTGTTCAGCTCCTAACATTCAGGTTGCAGGAAACGAGTTGGGGGACTTGAATAGTGTCTGTCATTATTGCCTGGTGACATGTCCCTCCGCCACCTTCCCTACCCCCTTTGCTGAGGAATCTAAAGTTCCAACAGCTTCGCATTGAAACCAGCAAGGTTGGGCTTGGCGACAGACGGCGGACCCTCGGCTCTTACACAATCCGTAACAATGGCTGCTGCTATAGCAGGGGTATATCGGACTATCAAGGCAATTCTCGGTTTGGACGGTGCTGGCGACTCTTGACAAGTATCACGAGGCTGCCAAACACCGCTTCGTACTTGACAGATATCAACTGCTGTGTAACGGCTAGGGATAGATAGCTAAAGCCCAACAGTTCTAGCTATAGAAGCACGTAGTAATAGTCGGGGCTGAAGTATTCCATGGCTTGTCATCATGATCTAGGGCGTGCTGATTGGAATGGGCTGAGGGGATGATGCAACAGTCAACAACACCAAACCAAGCCTAATCATCTACTTCAACTACTCACCCCGACAGCTACTCTGGTTTAAACCAACCAACAAAGGAACCGTGGACGTAACACTACAACGGGCAACAGTGGTGCCCAAGGAACGCGCCCGTAACCGCCCCCACCCTCGTCGCCTGTTCATATACACAGGTAAACGTAGCAACTAACAAGAGGGAAACAAGTATCACGTGTACTCCTTGTGAGAAATGTATAAAGACAGGGTATGACGGAGCGGTCAGGAGCGACCCTAACCAGGACGAGGAGCTGAAACTACTTGGGCTCCCAACTCCATCAGCCATAGATAGTGAGGGAAGACAGAAACAGTAAAACGGGTCGACCCCTTCGAATCATGGGAATGCAAACGTACTGAATGATGAGCTATGATGTCAATTCTCAAACAGGGCGGACATGACCTGTTAGGCCTTCGAGTGGGTAAACGCTTTGGGAGGTGAAGGGTGCAAAGTGGGCAGCGAGAAAAGAACACTAAAAACGAATGTGAAAATCAAGGACGCCAGGGCAGAGCAAGTAACGCAAGAGTACTAACCAAATAGGCGTTCAAATTCGGAAGGGATGATACCATTGTGACGAAACAGCAGGAGGAAGAAGACAATAATAGGGATAACTAAACAAACGGGACTG